AGTATTAAAAATTAAAGCATTCAGATGGAGACAATTTTTGGAGTATTTTCTCATTTGTAAAAATCCTTTGAATTGCTGCATCTGGTAGTACTGCTAATCATGGAACAGGTCACACTTTTCCTAGTGAATAGAACTTTGCATGTAGAAAACAAGAGTACTTACAATCCGTGACAGCTGGCTTGGTTTCCTCAGCGTCATTAAAAAAGGAAATGCCTATGGGGGGAAAAACGAGCAATCCAGTATGATCAATTCTGTATTCATACACTGTGCATTGATGCACAAGGCACAGCTAGAGCCCTTTTCCCATGCTATATTAAATTGTATCGTGAGAAACTCAAAAGAGAATTTAAGTTCAACAAGGAAAATTAGATGCCTTACTATGCAAAAGCTGTTGCTAAAGTTCAGCTTTCCCTCCCATGTCTCTGGCATTGTCCCTACTATCTCCAGAGCCCTCTACTGGCTCCCTCTAACTTCCTGTATCTTGTTCAAGCTCCTCATCCTTATTTTCAAGGCCCTAAACCCATATCATGTACCCCAGCAGCTTCTTTGCTCTCATTACATCTTAATACCCACTGTGCTCTTTTCGCATGTGTGGTTTTTCCTGTCTACATGATCCCTTTGTATCTTTCTCTCACCTCTGGTGTTTTCCTTATTGTCCTGTACACTTGCATTAGCCCCTCTTCCTTCAGATCTTTCCTAAAAACACATTACTTCACTTCTCCCTACTCTACTTCAAGCACATTTAGGAAATACCAGAGTTAAGGTTGCTTGTCAACCTTAATTTGGCCTCTTTGTGCATATGCATTATGAGCATTTAATTACGTAAATTACATTTGATTTTTTTTCTGTAGGACCCCAACCCCATTCACAACATAGGATGGATGGTGTGGCATGACCTGAGATGAGGGGGATAATGCCACACATACTCCTCCCTCGCATACCTCCCCCCCCTGCCTAGGGAAAGGCCTACACTGTCAGCCACCACTGGCCTTTTGGAGGTTGTTCTAGCAGCCAGGAATTGCTGGAGTGGAGGGATTCTTAGGCCATGCGTCCTTTTGCCATGAACACACCTATGGCAGCAGCCCCATGGCAGCATTACACCACTCACCAATTCTCCCAGACAGGAAGGATCCAAAAGTAGCATGTAAGCTAGCTTTAGGAAAGCCTTGAATCACAGAGAGGCACAAAGCAGATGGAATGCATTACAGGATTGGGTTTAACTCTATTACCCAACAATTTATAATCCATCTGGAGATGGGAAAATAGTATAGCATGTGAGAAGACCTGCTAAACCTCCCTGTCCCCTTGGCAATAAAATGTCATCCATTTAAGTTATCATTAGAACTGAAACCTATGGAGCTGTCCTATTGATCTCCTGGAATCTACAAGAAAGGCTAGCTGTAAAAGAAATTTCACTTTGCTTCAGTTAGGGCAGACAGGGCAATAGTTCTGAAGTTTGAGCCTAAACTCACTTCAGCAGCAATAAGTCTCGTAAACTTTTAGGAAGCAAATAATGAAAATAAGAAAAGCATAATGGCATAGTGGCCCGGCTGGGAAACTAGTAACCTCATTGCCCATGCGATCCTCTATCTATCTGTTGACTTCTAGCGCACTGATCATTGTATCTAGACACCAGATGCATTTCACCTCTTCTGTGAATAAATAAGGGACTTTAGGCCCAGGGTTGTTAATCTAGCATTTTTTACTAGCATGAAGCTGACACAAAAGTTTAAGGCATTTTTGCTTTGCATTTAATCTCTGAAACACTAACCGTGTGCCCTGATGTTCTGTAAGATGAAATATAGATATTCGCCGTAAATACCAGCAGCATCTGTGAACTCTTCCTGGGTCATGCTGCACAACTGCAAGCCATTAATATTAAAGTGGGAAAAGGGGATGCAGTTGGCATCTAGCTTGTATTGGTCACAGCAAAACTGCAGCCACTCACAGACATTGTGCTTACTCCAGTATTCCGGGTGAATAGATGTCCAGCAAGAATCACCAACTGCAG